GGCAGGGGCAGGAGGGTGGAAGTGCTCCTTGACAAACTGGGACAACCCAGCCATTTCGGGGGACAGGGCAGGAGCCCACCCAGGGTTGGAAGGGCAATGACCTCGCAGGTGGGACCGGGCAGGGGACCGGGAAGGCGGCCCAGGGACGTAAGCTCTTTAGGGCTGAGGTTGGGGGTAAGGGTTCCTGTCCCCAGAGGCCCTCTCCGACGCGAGCAGTCTTACTCGGCTCCCCCAGGAGGGGCACTCGCCCGCGACTAAGATGGCGCGGGCGGCCTCGGGAGGACACGCCGGCCCCGGACGGGTCACGTGACCCCGCCCGGGCCCTTCAAGAGCCTGCGGCCGCGCGGCAGCTCCAGAACCATGGCTCGGGGGCAGGCGGGAGCCTGGGCCGCGCTCGGGCCGCTGCTGTGGGGCTGCGCGCTGGCGCTGCAGGGCGGGATGCTGTACCCCCGGGAGAGCCCGTCGCGGGAGCGCAAGGACCTGGACGGCCTCTGGAGCTTCCGCGCCGACTTCTCCGACAACCGGCACCAGGGCTTCGAGCAGCAGTGGTACCGGCGGCCGCTGCGCGAGGTGCGGGCTGCTGGGGCGGGGGCGCGGGGCCTGGGGCCGGGAAGCCCCCGGAGCCGGACGGCGGGGCGAGGAGCCCAGCACCCCGCGGGCTCCTTTCCCTGTGCCCTCAGGAGCTGCCGGCCTGGAGGACGTTAATTAGTGGGCTGCGGGACCTGGAGAGGAACCCGGAGGTGGCGGGCGGCCCCGCGGGCCAGGGGAAGGGGCCTGCGAGCCCCCTTCGGAGGGGAAGCCCGAACCGTATCCTTCCGGCAGTGTCAGTCACACACCGTCAGGGCGGGTTGGTGGGGGCGTGGCGAGGAGGGAACGGTTTGGACATCCTGGGGCCAGCTGTGCCCAGGCAGGAAGGAGCCTGGGTTCTGAGGTTCAGCTAGAGGACAGGATATGTGTGGCAGTGGGGAAAAACCCCACACCAGCTCCGCTCCTGACTTGGGCCAGTCAGCAGAGAAGTAGGACTGTGCGAGGCCTCTGTACTCATCTGACGCTTTCCTTTCCTAGATCTTCCTTCCTCTGACTTTGCTGCCCCAGCGTTCAGCACAGGAGAACAGGCGCTGGGCGTCACATGTGTCCCAGTCACAGTTTCCTCAGTAAGGGGGCCCTCTCCCTCTTCCAGCCTCTTCCCTGGGCAGGCAGTTGTCATCTGCTTCTTAGTCAGGGTCTGGCCCTTCTAGCCTCAGTCTGGGATGTGGCCTTGGGCTCAGCCCTGTCCATAAAGACCTTGGCCTGGTGCCTTGAAGAAGTAGTTCT